TACCCCATAATCTCAGGCATGCCCTTTATATCAACAGTGACTTTTTACTGAATGCCCTCTCTGGGCTAGGCTTATTCCTAGTGCTTCATGCGATCCTCTTTCAACCTGCAAATAGTTACGAGGGTTGACTGCATTATCAATGACTTCTCATCGCTGAGGAACCTGGAGCCAAGAAAGGGAGCGTATCGTGCCCAAGAGCGCAAGCTAGCTAGAGGCAAGGCAAGGACAAATTCCACCAGCTCATCTGTGACTCTTGGTTTGGGTTAGAGTATCCAGAGGTTCATCTTGCAATTATCCTTACTTTAAAGACAATCCCATTTTGCAGAGGCACCGGCCGCCCCAGCATCAGTTGGGAATCATCCTGGCATCTCTTGGCCCCTGGGGTCAAATCCTCCTTCGAGCCCAGGTCCCTCCGTGTTGCTATATGAGCGCATGCAACCGTGTCTTTCTGCAGCAGGAAGCCCACACTGCCCAGCTGACGAGGCTGATTGTCTGCAATCTGTGAGACCCAGACAGCACCACGGCCTGGTGACTGCCGCGGGGCCAGAGCTGTGGAGGGACGCTGCGCCCCTCCAGGCCATAGTCCCAGCTTCTAGACATCAGCACGGTGACGGGCAACAGAGTCAAATGGCAAGTCATCCTCTGAGCTGGACAAACCGGGCCGGAAAATGGTCTCTTAATTGGGTCTGAAAGCTCTTGTGGAAGAAGAGCCAGTTGCTCGCCGTGTGTGTGGTAACCCTTGAAACACCCAGAGGAGGAAAGGGCGGTTCTGGCCCCTGAGTCACTTGTCACCAGCATTTCCTTCTGCTTCGTAGCCGGCTTGCCATGGCAACCTTTGTCCCTGCTGCAGTAAAGCTAAGATGTCATTACACAGCCTCAGTTCCAGAACAGACCCCCTGCTCCTCTCTCCCGGGCAAAGCTCAGCTCAGCTTTCCACAAAGGGCCAGAAATCTGCCTGAATCTGACTTCAGGGCCGGAGCCTGTGGGCTGCCCGGGAGCCCCTGAGCTCTGGAGACTCCACTGAGGATTTCATTCTTTCGTTGGGCATTGTATGGGTTCAATCACTTTTGGCTGCGTGAAGGACGGGAGCTTTGTCTCAGCACATGGACAGAGCGGAGAGGCAAACCCCATAATGAATTAGCACGGCAATTCAAAGCCTTTCCTTAGCAAGTGGTTCAGGGGAGAACAGATCTTTGGGGGTCAAGGCCGCAGGCAGAGGGTGGGAGGTAGGGAGGGGGCTGCAATCCCACATGGGTGTTGGGGACCGAACAAGGCAGATGATCCCAGCACTCAGAAGCTGTGTCTTTCGGGAAGCTTCTCCTGGTTCTCTTCCGATGAGAAGGAATGAGCCAGTGGATCCAGGACACACACACTGTGGGGCACAGGAGGAAGCCCAGGCCACTGGAGTGGGAGGTCCAGTGCCTGCCCTCAGGGAGCTTGGATTCCCTGTGATGGCCCATTTAGCCTTGCCAGCCCTGTTTCTTCACTTTGCTGTATGAGCGCAGGCAACCGTGTCTGTTCATGGCAGGAAGCCCACCCTTCCCAGCGGACAAGGCTGATCGCAACAATCTGTGAGGCCCCAGACAGCCCCGCGCGGTCACCAAGCCCACGTCCAGAACCTTTGTTCTAATACCACTTCTACAGTGATTGCTCAAGACAAGATGGCCTGAAGAAGTGCAAAACCCACCTCACAGGCCAAATTAAGAAGATCGTATCGTGTATACTTGAGTCCATGCATTTGAGCTACAAAACTCCCGAGTCAATGTATTTATGTTCAAACTTCACCCTCCTCCCTGTAGGATATGTGTTGGCTTAGAAGAATGAGTAAAAGCATCGAAATGGTAAAACAGAAGAGGAAATCAGGATCGCTGAAGGGAAAGGAAGATGAAATGTTAACGGGGGAGGTTGAGCTAATGATTTTCTTGTACATTTCTCTGCAAAAACCCTAAAATCTTACAAATCTCTCATACTCGACCAAAATCTACCTTCTTTTATTTTTTTCCTTTCTAATGTTAATACTGTCCTGCTCCTGGGTTTCTTCTAGGATTTACTTAAGATGCAGTGATCATGAGCGGTGGTGATCATGAGCAGTGGGAAGGGGGGACATGGCCATATATGTGGGGACCCCCCTCCTGCCTGGAAGGCAGCTGGGACTCCCTGCTATCCCTGCCACTTGCTAGCTGCTCACCTGGACCAAGTTAGACCCTCTCTTGCTGGGCATCCATTTCCCACCTGATGATGACAGAATTAAAAAACACAGTTATTTCGCAAATTACAGGGGCAGGCATAGTGAGGTGGAATCCGCTTCCTACGCGCAGGGCAATCAGCTTTGCAGCTTCAGATTCCTCTTTTAAGAAAAATAAGGATGCTAATGCCTCCCAACAGTTTCAACACTGATTCCTTTGCTGCCCCTCAAAGCTCATCGCGACCTTTTCTTCGATCCAGGGAAGTGCCAGTGAGGCCACTCTGGTGGCTTTGCTGGCCGCTCGGACCAAGGTGGTGCGCCGCCTCCAGGCTGCCTCCCCGGGGCTGACGCAGGGCGCCATCATGGAAAAGCTAGTGGCCTACTCATCGGATCAGGTGAGTGCAAAGCCCCACTGAGCCTCTAAGATCTGAATCTTTGTTTTGTGTCCAATCCAATCCAAACAAAACCATGCGGCGTTTCAGACATTTCCACAGCCGTGCTTGGACATGGGTGTTTGATATTCTGTCAGTGTGCATGTGAGTTCATGCAGGTCCAGGGGGGTAACCGGCCAGGGTCACAGGGGGGAGCGCCTGGGGAGCTTGGAATCCTGCACCTCCTGTCGGCCATTGGGAGCCACAGCGGGATCCAGACCCCAGGACAGAGTCGAAGAGGAGACAGTGATGGTGGGAGCCACAGGGCAGAGAGGGGCACCTTCAGTAAGAGCTGGCCTTCCTGGGAGGCCCCGAGCCACAATGGATCCACCATCCCACAATGGTGCCGTGTCCTTGCTCCTTTTCTCCAGAAACCATGTGCTGAGCGTGGCCCCCAAGCGGCCCAAGGCCCCATGGTGAGAGGAGCCCCCAGATAAGAACCTGGGTGTCTCACTCTGCTCACTGCTTGCTCACTAATCTGAAAAGCGAGATTCCACAGAACCCGAGACAACACCGGGAATGAGGTGCAGGGGGGACGCAGAGGGCCTGCAGCATGGGGAGCTCTCTGCAGAGCCGGGGGCTCATGGCCACTGCACACGGCACGCACATGCATGCAAGAATCTAACTCCGATGCCTTCCTTCCAGGCACACTCCTCGGTGGAAAGAGCCGGATTAATCGGAGGAGTGAAAATAAAAGCCATCCCTTCGGATGGCAAGTTTGCCATGCGTGCTTCTGCCCTGCAGGAGGCCCTGGAGAGAGACAAAGCGGAGGGCCTGATTCCTTTCTTCGTAAGTCAACCAGGCATGTTGGGTATGGGCCCCTGGGAGTCTCCGAGCCCTGCCTGGGCCTGCGGCAGGGCCCTGCTTGCCGTGCTGGTCACAGGCTATACGGTCCTTGTGTGGCCATGTGGCCACTCCTTGAGGGAGGCTGGAGCAACACTCCATTTAATTTTCCGTCCGCCTGCCTAATCCCAGAAAGAAGGCAACAGGGCACCTGGCCCGGAGGATCCCGATAAGCCAAGAAGTCTTATTTCTGCTCCTGTTAAAAGTGACACCAGGTGATCATCCCTTGACTGCCCTCTGTGCCAATGTAGATGCTCTGTCATGAGGAATGGATGATGGACCAGTGAACCAAATTAAAAATAAAACCCAGAAGGCCTCACCGCCTAGATCAGTATTCTTAGCAGATACCAAGATGCGTCACTTGCAAGAGATGTGTTGCAAGCAATTATCGGTAAAATATCTAACTAGACAAATAGCACCAGGTTTCTGCCCATCTTGTGCACAAATGGGCATTTTCCAGTGGGGAGGAAATACTTGGTGTTGTAACTGGAGCAGTTAGACATGGGAGTTGTCACACCCCATGAGGCCACTGTGGGATGCAATGTCGTGTGTCGTGACAATTAATAGTGATCTTGGCCCTAGCCTTGTGGTGTTCAACCTGGCTGCACACCAGACATACCTGGGGAGTGTTGAAAATATATTGATGCCCAGGCCCTGCCCCAGTTACTTTTACCAGAATTTCTGGAGAGGGAGCCAGGCCTTAGAAGCTCTTCATAGCCGGGGCGCCTGGGTGGTTCCATGGGTTAAGCGTCCGACTCTTGATTTTGGCTCAAGTCATGATCTCAGGGTCCTAGAATCGAGCCCAGAATTGGGCTCCACACTGGGTGTGGAGTCTGCTTGAGATTCCCTCTCCCTCTGCCCTGCCCTCCCCCAAATAAAAAAATAAATAAATCTTAAAAAGAAACGGAAGCTTTACATAACAATTTCAAGATGCTCATATGCCTCCTGAACAGTCCTCGGTGTCTGAGCGTTTCCTAGCTGTTAGAGCAATCTAGGTTTGGTAGACTTTTATGGGCTGCGTGTTACTCATGCCCACTATTTTTTTAATTTAAGGTTTAATCTCCGAGACAAGCTTTTTTTTTCTCCAAAAAAATTGTTCCTATCAATGCAAATGAACTACCCCTCGTTGAAAATCTAACTTGTGACTGGGGAAGGCATGGAGGGTATGGTTTGATACAAAATTTGATCCTGATTTATGGAGTTCCCAGGGGGAATCCAGATCATCTATACCAATAATTACACTGTAGAGGGATGAAGAAGATTCAGATGTAGCTCGTGGGAGGAGCTGATGGCCAAGGCAGGTGTCTGCCTGCGATCAAGGCTGGCCCAGAGGTCATCTGAGTCACCCTGTCCTGCTTCATTTCCGTGTGCTGCATGACACCCATATTTATTTGTGTATTTGTTTGCTGCCTCCTTCTTCCCACCGTACTGCAAACTATGTGAAGGGAGGGTCCGTGTAATCAACGCGTTATCCCAGCTCCTGGAACCTGCCCCTGACACTTAGCAGACGCTCAATAAATATTTGTCAAAGATTTGGAAGGGAGATCATTCTTGTTAGAAAGACTACCTTTAAAATTCCCACATACAATTTCAGGATAGTTTGGGAAAAGTTTTCAATTAGCAATAATCACGCCTCGGATAAACCTCATTGGCTACGATACTGCCACTGCGCAAAGCTTTCAGGATAGTTTGAAAGGACTCTATTTAAACGAGGTAAATATTTTTGAAGCTGTACCAGCAATCTTCTAAGACTCATTAGAATATCCCGCCTAAGGAAAAATAAATATATTAAGACCCACTCTTGCAGATTTGAAGAACGAAAGCAATGGAATAGACCACATAAAATGATGAGAAGATTTCATTTCATAAAACCTACAAAACTCATGGGACACCTGGGTGGCTCAGTAGGTTACGTGTCTGCCTTTGGCTCAGGTCATAATCCTAGGGTCCTGGGATCGAGTCCTGAGTTGGTCTCCTTGCTCAGCGGAGAGTCTCCTTCTCCCTCTCCCTCTGCCTGCCACTCCCCCTGCTTGTGCGTGCTTGCTCTCTGACAAATAAATAAAATCTTTAAAAAAAAAAAACAAACCACAAAACTCATAAACAAAATAAAAAGACAAATGTTGGCAGGAAATAGAATGTATATTATAAAGTAAATCTTAGAGGAGGCTCACATCTCAATAAGCAAATAGGCAACATTCCAGTGGGAAAACACAAAATACAAAAACAGCTGGTTCCCCTTTCAATCACAGCAAAGCGAGAACACAAATCAGTTTCCATCTTCTAATAACCAAGGCCGTGCAAATCGGCTCTTGAGAGAGGCATGAGAGCATCCCAGCTGTGGGGGTAGACATACCCATGACTTCTTTTGTGGCCGGCTAGGTTTCTCTTACGTAGTTTAAGGTTTTAGTAGTCAGCCACACTCACATCTGGAATTGTCCAAACTTCCTGCAGAATGACCCATGTATCCTTGAGAGATGCTCCCTTAGTCTTCTGCTTGAACTGACGTCCCTGCAATGACGTCTGGTTTCCATTGGTTAGTCAGTGGTCCCGGGATACATTGTTTCCTTTTTTGTGTACCTTTCTGTTCTCATACTTGTATCTCCTGTAGGCAGTAGGCCCTTGTTGCTGGGTTATTGTTTTTTGTCTTTTCATCTGTTTATAAATCCAACATGACAGTTTTTCTTAATTTTCTCCATTTACCTAAGGAAATTATCGATACATTTAAAAGCATTTCTACAATCTTACTATTTGTTTTCCATCTGGTCCGCCTCTCATATGATGGTTTTTCTAGGCTTTCTTGTCTTAGACTATCAAATGTTTTATGTTATTCCATTTTCTTCATTTTTAGCTTACGAGCTTTATCTTATTTTATTATTACGCCTCCCCTCCCCTTTTGTGCTATTATTGTTATATATTTTAATTCTACATATATTTAAAATCCCATGAGACATCGTTATTTTATATAGCCGATATTTATTTATATAAATCTCATATTTCTCTTTCTGCTGATCTTTCTTTCCTGCATTTTCTTACTTTCATCTGGGATCATTTTTTTTTTCTGTCTGAAAAATTGTCTTGAGAATTTTGCACTTTGATACAATTGCCTCCGTTCTTGTTTTTCTGAAAATGTCTTTACTTTGCCTTCGCTTTCGAATGATATTTTTGCTGGGTCTGGAGTTCCAGGGTGGACGGTCTTTTCTTTTGGCAGATTAAATACATGAGCCCATTGGACATCGGTTGTCAGTCTCAGAGTGGCTTTTAGGCATGTAGTGTGGAAACGTGACTTTTTCCCTCTGGCGGCTTGTAGCATTTGCTTTTTGTCTTTGTGTCTAGGCGGTTTTGGTAGGATGCAAACCAATTGTTTCTTTGTGCTGATTCTCTTTGGGTTTCACAGAACTTCCAGAATCTGTGATTTGTCATTTCTTTGGGGAAATCGTCAGTTGGGGAAGTTCTTTTTTTTTTTTTTTAAGATTTATTTATTTATTTGAGAGAGAGAGAGAATGAGTGGAGGGAGGGGCAGAGGGAGAGGGAGAGAGAGAAACTCAAGCAGACTTCCCGCTGAATGCGGAGCCAGACGAGGGGCTCAGTCTCACGACCCTGAGATCATGACCTGAGCCAAAACCAAGAGTCAGACGCTCAACCAAGCTACCCAGGTGCCCCTATAGCTCTCTTAAAAAAAAAAAAAAAATCACTGAATAGTATTCCATTGTCTGGATGTACCTATCAAAGGACATTAAGATGCACCCATTTCTGAGTCAGGGGTTTTCCAGCACCACCAAGCAATTAACTCAGTTCTGATACTATTTACCAGGAGACAGCATTAGACCCCACAGGCGAAGGGCTCAGTCCTACAAGACTGCCCCACTTCAGTTGCCACTTGTAACTCCAGGTTGTCACGTGATCAACAGCTATAGATCAGAAATTTCAGGGAGCCCCATCCTTGGGTTTGATTACAGTGTTAGAGCAGCTCACAGAACTCAGATACACATTTGACTTGCTAAATCACTGGTTTGTTATAAAAGGATATAACTCAGAAACAACCAGATGAAAGAGATGCCTGAGGCAAGGTCTGGGGAAGGGGTATGGAGCTTCCATGCCCTCTCCTGCTGCCATTCTCTCCAAATCTCCACTTGTTCACCAGCCTTGAAGCTCTCCAAACCCCCTTTGGGGTTTTTATGGAGGCTTCACTACACAAGCACAATTGATTGAATCGTTGGTCACTGGTGATTGAACTCAACCATCAGCCCCCTCCCCTCCCTGGAGGTCAGGGGTAGGGCTTAATAGTTCCAATACTCTAATAACAGGATTAGTTCTCTTGGCAGCTAGCCAGCATCCATGGGCAACGGAGCAGCTTTTTAAAAGTCACCTCATTAACATGACAGAAGATACCTTTGTGGCCTTCAGTGCTTAGGAAATTCCAAGGGTTTTAGGAGCTCTGTGTCAGAAATGGGGGCAAAGACCAAATATGTATTTCTCCTTATAAATCACAGTATCGCAGACATCTTGGTTGTTTCTAAGTTTTGGCAATTATTTAAAAAGTGCTATGAACACTCATGTGCAGATATTTGTGTGGACATAACTTTTCACTTTGTTTGGGTAAATAAACAGGAACACATGTAATTGCTAGATCATATGGCAAGAGAGAGTTTAGTGTTATGAGAAACTGCCAGGCTCTCTTTCAAAGCAGCAGTACCATTTTGCATTTCTAAGAGCTATGAATCACAGAGTTTCTGTTTTCCCACATCTTCACCAGCATTTGGTGTTGTCAGTGTTTTTGATTTTAGCCTTTCAAATGGATGTATGGTGGTATCTAAATGTTGCTTTCATTTGAGATCCCCTAATGATGTATGCTGTTGAAGGCCTTGTCATAGGCTTATTTGACATTTGGATATCTTCTTTGGTGAGCTTCAGACCTTTTGCCCATGTTTTAGTTGGATTGTGTATTCTATTACTGTTGGGTTTGGGGATTTCTTTTTATAATTTTGGATATCAGTCCTTTATCAAGAGTCGCATTTTGCAAATATATTCTCTCAGCGGGTAACTTTTCATTCTCTGAAATGTCTTTCATAGAGCAGGAGTTTTTAATTTTACTCAAGTCCATCTTATCAATTTTGTTCATTCACGGATCATGCCTTTGGTGTTGTAGCTACAAACTCATCCCCGCACCCAAGAGGATATAGATTTTCTCTTGTGTTATCTTTTAGGAGTTTTATGGTTTTACATTTAACATTTAGGTCTGTGATCCACTTTGAGCTAATTGTTGTGAAGGGTGTAAGGTCTGTGTCCAGATTCACCTTTTTGTTTTTTGTTGTTTTCTTTCGTATGTGAATGTCCAGTTGATCCAACACCATTTGCTAATGGTAGTGATACCGGTAAGAGGGAGAAGGATGTATTATTTATTATTTACTATTATTTATTATCCCTTTTGCCCATTTATGTGCTCCTTCATTAGAATGTAAGATGTCATCTACATTAGAATTTATATTTTAATTAAAGTTAAATGTGTACGCAGCTTCATAATCAATTAGTTCTGTGTGTCTTATAACCGCAATACTGAAAAACAAGGGTCTACTGAAAGATCTGATCATCCTCACCAAGATGTCTCCTTACCAAAGTCAAAGCTCTAACGTCTCTTAGTGTTTTTTTCCCTTCATCTTTTTTTTTTTTTAAAGATTTTATTTATTTGAGAGCGAGAATGAGAGACAGCATGAGAGGGAGGAGGGTCAGAGGGAGAAGCAGACTCCCCGCCGAGCAGGGAGCCCGATGCGGGACTCAATCCCGGGACTCCAGGATCATGACCTGAGCCGAAGGCAGTTGCTTAACCAACTGAGCCACCCAGGCGCCCTTTCCCTTCATCTTTGAGATGGAAAACCAAATGTATGTATTAAGTAATACAATGATGTAGAGAGTTTTAGGGATGGGGGGGGAGATCGAATTTCATCTCTTCTTTCCGTATTATTTTACAAAGTGTAAACTTTTGTGGTCTTCCCTCAGGAATCCTTAGAAAATAAATTTTATGGTCTTTAAGTATTTTTATAGAATGTCGTATTGAAAATACATACATATTCATCACATATTCACACTTCTACACAAAGGAAGGACGATCAAAGCATGCGTTCATGATTTGGTGGTGGGATTTCAGAAGGCAGCAAAGCATTTCACGATGGCTCTGTGCCCGCCAGTTAGCGAGAACTTTGAAATGAAGCAGCATTGGCGGGCATTTCAGAGTGGCCAAAGGCTTTGTCGGGACATTTTTTATATGTTATTGGGAGGCATCTACCCTGACTACATTTTATAATCCTTGTTAGTGGGCTCTCATGCAAATGGTGGACAAATTCGTGGGCTTAGCAGCAGGTGCCAGATACCTCCACTTGTTCTATTTCCAAACTTATCAGGATGGGCTATGCAACAGTTGCAGGTTCATTCGCTTAGTCATTCATTCACTTGGCAAACATTTATTGAGCACCTGCTGCATGCAGGGCCAGCGGGCCCTCCAGGGTCTTATTGGTTAGATAGAGACACGAAGCGAACAGTCATGTACAGCAGGTGCAGCGTGATCTATGATACAAGCAACCCAGCAGTTCCCACGACTGGAACGCGGGCATCAGGGAAGAGTTGCTGCAGGATCCACAATCTGGAAAGAGTAAGGGATGCAGGCCGAGGGAGGGGGTAGCGGGG